AGGACCGGTTGGCGCCGGATTCTTAAGACTGTACCGTGCGACTACACAATGTACAGCATGGGACGGTTCCATGGGAAAAAGAAGTACAAAGTCAACTACTTGCCGTTACACTGTGCTGATAACGCGCTCGGTATTCACTCCTACATTGCAGAACTGGCGACTTTGATGAAAAAATCGAAACTCCCGACCACGTTCCATGACATGCGTCAGAAATGGCTGCAATTTGCCAAAAACAAATCTCACGCTATTACGAGCGATCTCCAGCGACATACGACCTGTATGGAAGTGTCACGACATGTGTTGGAGTACCAAGTCCGGGATCTCAAGCGACGACTCGAAACGGCTGAAGCGACCCTCGAAGCACAGGTTTCGAAGCAACGTCGCCTTGCCGCGAAGGTGTACGATGAATTTCCAGCACGCCCACACGACTAATTGATTGAATACATGCTCTCTGTCTTATAACATTGTTGAAGAATATTTCGTCATTTAATTCATGTAGTCCTTTCTCTAATTTGATCAAGTGTGCATTTTCCAATTTGAAATGAAGCATCCCAAGCGAAAGGCAGACGACACTGACCACAGCGCGGGAACTCCAGAACCTAAGCGTCGCGTCAGCATCCTTGGGCGCATGTAAAGCTCTCCGATAGCGCCGCTTGGAGCTATGATCGACTTGCTTGATGAGGCCGAAGCGTTCTTAGACCGAGTTGACCGACCTGCACTAGCGCGGCTCAGTAGTTTTTACTGATCGACGTGTTGCTGGGTCTTCTGTACTTACAGTGTTCTTTGTTGCTGCGGATGACGTTGCGTCCATTGAGGACCTCCAATCGTGCACTTGTCATGCGACTGGCGAGGCAAAACGCTCCAACATGCTCTTACTCTACAGTGCTGTTGTGTGCGATGTTCTTCTCGACCACGATTTCATCCCTGGTCGTTTTGCTACATCCACTCGCACTTCAAAGCACAAACGCGATAATGGGAATGGACCATTTACATGGTACTCAAATGTGAAGTCATGGGCGTTTGCTCCATAATTGAATCAAAGTTGTCCTAGCTCATTGCAATTATCACGATGTTTAACCTTCTAATATAAGCGTTTCGTTGTCATAAGCTCGTGGTTCATTCCAAAGTACAATTTTCCAAAGAACATGGTCGCGGTGTTTGATACTTCTAATGGTCAGGCAGCAGCACAATTTCAGCCAATATCATTCTATGGGGTGTATCAATCGCTTGCCATTCGGTGATAAATCGCGATGTCCGGGTTCTATATAGATTAGATTGTTATCACTTGTGTACATTGTGTTCAAATACGGATGTTATGATAGCGCTCGATGTACCATGGTTCGTCGTGGTAGTGGTCGTCGTATTTAGCTTTGATTCTAACTTTCACGTGTTAGACAGATATCATTGTATCCTGGGATGGATATAACTGTGGCCGATCAATACAATATATACACTACGTAGGTTCAATACAATTCCGCCCACAACACCACTCCTACAGCGTGTAATTTGTCTAGATGTCTCGTTCCTAATGATGATAGACAGATATAATTGTGCACACCATTAGTTGAGCTGCAATACCGTATTTTGGTATAGCTAGTCGAGTATCGGTCGTTGAGGCAACATCCTTCATTCGATTGCAAGTTGTCTTGTTGCTAAACAGGTTAGATAGATATCTTTCTTTGGGATTGGATAGCGTCCAAAGACACTGTGACCAAGGAACACAAGCGTAACGACACTGCGAGCCACCACACCGCGTCTCCGCCTACAACACCACGTCTTCACCCACACCACCACTAGTCCAATCCAAAAGTGTCAGACTCTCAATTGTTCATCCGCATAATTAACCGTTGGGTTAATCCGGATACAATGCACTGGTCATCGTTCATTGTTGAAATAAACCTAACCCTTTTCGAGCGCTCTTCATTCCACATTCTTCAATTTACTGTGCTCTGCGCACTTCGAATTTAGTTCACCGCACACTCTAACTTCGGTTCTCCACATCTCAGCCCACAGGCCACTTTACGCAATTCTAAATAGCTCGCACAACGCATAGTCGATGAATTGATTCGAATTTCGAAGTTGAAGGTTTTGAACTCCACTGGCCTCAAACTGGCTCTTCCAAAATACGTGTTCTTCAATACAAACTTGTAATGAAAGTTAGTTCGTTGTAATGTACTGTACCTACTGGAATACTAGTATTACGTACGGTACTACATACTGTATGTACTGCACTTTCTGTACAGATAAGATATAACTGTCAAATTAGACTTCTATTGTGTACTGCATTGTACTATGCTTACTAAACTATAGTCATAAACAGTAGTCCATTGAATATCTTGAGAAAGCTTACACTAAAAGCTCAATATAATAAAATGGTAATCGCAAGCACTCAGATCTATGTTTACATCAGCCGGTGCTCTACCGTACGTTTGGGCGAAAGCGCTTTCCCAAAATTGAAGGAGCCTACTCCTCCGCCAATTCAAAACATTATTAACTACGGAATAGCCCAGTACATACACGACAATGTTCTGCGTGTACTGGGCTAGGTTGCATACCAATACGTGGAGTATTGCATGAGGAGTAGCTCCCTTCATTTTCGAATGCAGCATAGATTTCATGATTTTCATCTCTTCAACACCATCCAACCAAAAACGAATTTCGACCGTATTATTTTACAGAATGTAATAATAACTTGTTCTGGTTGGACTGAAGTGGTACTTCGAATACATACAGACAAACGGATATGATTGGCTTATTTAAACCAATCCTTAGTTTGGCCCAAACTATCTCAAGCATGATTGGATAGAACTGAAGAAACTTCGGTAGTACCGGTTAGGCCCAACCTCGATGTAATCGTATATTTTTATTGTAACTCAGAATAGTATTTCGACACTTTTAATTCGAATTTGCAATCATATTATACTCGGGCAATAGGAAATACTTACCTGCATTTCACAGTCAATACAAACCACAAGTCAGGTAGAGATGAAATTTGACGCTAAACTGTTTTATACTAATCTGAAGTTCTTCCCAAAATTTCAGCAAAATTGGAGTAGTATTGAGGAAGTTACCAAATTTCTGAAGCGTTTTCGCCCAAACGTACGGTAACCCCCACCAACTAGCATAACCCCTAGTACCACGTTTGAGAGGTTGCTATGTAAGGTATTTTGATTATCATATGTCAAACTTTACTCGAAAATTAGCGCAAGGAAAACATTTCTTTATGTTCCTATTCAATATGCTCGGAAAGCCTCAGTGACCCAACTACTTCAAGTATGAAATTAGAGCCTAATACGGTTTTTACACGACCGGCATCCGGTTACAGGGCTTCGTGCACGACGAGCGTCGGGCAAATTCCGTTTCCATCGAGATTTTGAGATTTCGTCAATACAAATTTCAAGATATTTGAAATTATGTGATATAGATCGAATTTGCACGACGCACGTCATTTGTAAGCGAAGCATTTCTATTGGCTATAATGTGCGAAACCGCAAACACGAATCCAAGACAAGCTAAACACGGAAGTTTGGTGATAGAAATGCCCTGAGACTGATGGAACTTGTTTCAGTGACGTGATGTGATGAAGGTACAGTATATATACCAGTACGTATGTCGTTCAAACGACAGGTCAGTATGGATTTAGTGGTTTGCTCTGTAAATACCCTGGGTTTACAGTACTGTAATCTGTCCACCTTGCAATTCACATTGTGCAACCAAACTACTGTATAGAAACCATGTCATGGTCGGCTTGCTACGAATTGAGATTTATATAGACGCACTGCCCAGACCCTAATTATGGCGAAATCGCAAGCTTTTTGGTGTCTTCGTGATCACAGCGGTTGTATATCGAGCTCGATGTGTTGTGATAAGTTGACTTCATTTTCAACAAGTATTGCAGGAAAGCGCATAGCCTGCAATAGGGCGGCTGATTAGAGACTTTTAGCAAGTGCGAAATGTGAGTAGTTTACATACTTTGTACTTTGTTCGATTTTATCGATGTCTGAAGTTGGAAGTTTAAAGAATTCAGATTTAGCAAGTCTGAAAAGTAAATCCCGACACACCAAGCCATTATTCCTTCTCCTGTTCTTAGTCTGTGCCTACCGGTATGACTTAATTGCGCGCAATTGAACGAGAGACACATAAAGGCGTGTAGAATGTGGATTTGTGTATCATGTGCGACGTTATGAAACGATAGTCATCGAACGCTTTGGACTGCAGGGACTCGGACTAGCTCAGCGGTCCTAATGCCCGCTGCTTTCGAAGTTTGAGGATCTTGAGTCAAGATTCTCCCTCTGTTTGGCCGTCAAGTATCGTGGCGACCAAACATAGGTTTACGTAGTCAGGACCGAGCTCGCCGCCCGTCGTCCATGCCTTGGCATAGGGTGATCAGGCGGCAATCATTGGCGGCTTGGTGCGCGGCGGCGGGGAGTATACTGTGATGTACTGCCCTGAGCTACAAACTCAGACTAGCGTCCTGCATCACTGTACATACCCGCGCTTGTGCACTATCCTAACACTACATAGTCTTAACTACCTATGCGTCGGCTGAAGCGAGTCGGAGCATGTTGGTGTGAGTGGAGATTTCGGAGAAAATTCGCTAACCTGAAGCGATTATCAGAAATATTTCGCAAACCTGAAGTGGTTTAGGGTTACGCAAAGCACTCGCACGTGCTTGTGTGCGAAGTCTGATGTACTTGTAAAAGGAAATTAGCGTTCTGGTCAGAAATACGACTTCTTCCAGTAGAAAACAAAGCACGTGCTATTTGTGCTTTCATGTTTAAGACCAATCATACTTGAGTATTTGTACCCGAAAAGCGTAATTCGACTTCTCCAACCAAACTCCAGTAGAAAATATAACACGTGCCTCCATACTCGATCATACACAAAATTTATGTAATGAGGTATTTACAGTTTCGAATGCAGGGGGATGTAGTGCCCTGGCGTGTACAGCAAAAAGAGCTCTTGAAGACGGAACGTTCCGGCGGTGCATTTTCGTTCCTGGGTGTTTCAATGATGCCATTGTTTTGTGCAAGCCCTTTGTTGCATTGGACGGCTGTCACATGAAAGGACTGTACAACAAGTCTGGCGTGTATCTGACAGCAAGTATGAAGGGCGGCGCGAACAGGAATCTCCTGATAGCGTTGGCTGTCGTTCCAACCGAAAACGAAGTCAACTGGACGTGGTTTCTACAAGAGTTGAAGACTTGCCAACTCAATATTCCGAGCAAATTCCTATTTTTGTCCTATAGGGATAAAGGTTCAGTTCCTGTAGTGTTGTTTGGCATTCACATCCACTTGTCTTGTAGGACTAATCAATGCAGTGCGCCTTGCATTCCCTGCAGCCCACCACAGATACTGCATGTGGCACGTATTCATGAACATTCGAGGACTGAAGTTCAAGCTGTCAAGCGAAGACAAAGCAGCGATATACAGAAGTGCCGATGCGCCGACTAAAGCAACGTTCTATGAAGCAATGGATGATTTGAAAACAAGAAACGTGAACGCTTGGACGTACTTGGCGAACTTGAAGCCTGGTTTTCAAAGTTGGTGCCAATTCGCTATCGTGGAAGCTGGATATGCAACTTTTGGAGAAAAAACGTCAAACCCTGCTGAACAGAACAAACAATGCATGGCTTGGGCTCTTACTTCGATCCTCCGACCCCGTGACTGCGTATTACGTTTATGTCGCCAAGCTCCTGGCGACCTTCAAGAAGCGACGGCAACTACTTGTGCATGCAAATCCTACGCAAGTAGTCGATGTTGTGATGCGATGCGTACACAACACCGCGACGAAGGCTAAGTCACTCATAGTACGTACAGTAGCATGACAGTCAAAATCAATATGTTTCACACGTTTTAGGCAACGGAGCTGACGAGCCAGAAGAATGACCCATTGTGTTCTGGGAAGTTCCTTGTGAAAAACGGTGAACAAAGTCAATGGCTTGCAAAAAACGTTCACATTGTGGACATCAAAAATCAAACCTGCACCTGTTGTCTATGGCAAAATTCGCTCATACCTTGCAAGCACGCGATGGCGACGCGAAAACAATGCAGTAAGAGCACCACATGACAAAACTGTAGTAACAATATTGTGTAGAGTTTCCCAAGTTTTACTTCAATCGAGCGCTGCTGTCGTTGTATCAAGGACTTGTGTTTCCCTCGTTACCTACTATGTTCGCCCGCCATCTGTGCTCCGTCAGGTGTGCTGTCTTGCACACAAACCATATTGACCGTTGTACAAATAGAAAGTTTCGAAACGCGGACGACCAAAGAAAAGACGCTACAAGTCGCGTGGCGAATAGAACATGCTGCTGTACACATTGGTGTATTTGAATAACAAAATTACAGAACTCGTAGTTAATCCGTGTATTAAAATCGGTAACCTCGACTGTATGTCGTGAAGAGTTCTTTGCCAGTCGGTACAGGCTTCGTAACTTTGATGCAAATTGCATTTCCCAACCGTGCTAGTTGGCAATTCTTCAAACATCCAGAGCGTTCGCGACATTCGCGATTGACAAACGTCCCCAGTCCACTACCAGCCACCGGATCGTTCAAACCAAGCAGCCACGACTTCCTTTTCGTGACACCCAGTTCGCAGGCGTAAGCATGGTCTTTTTGCTCCACGAAGACCTTGGTTCCGTCGTACGCAGTACAAATGTCACCTGGCAGCAGATCGATTGCAGCAAGCAAGCCTCGGCCAGCACCAGGAATGGTCGACTCGCCAATCTTCACAAACGGATTGACAGCTTCGTGGGCTCCTCTGAGACGTGCGTTGGCAAAGGTAAACGTATCGCGCTTACTTGCCTTGATGGGTTTGGCACGCATCGCTCGAATTGCAGTCTTGGTCGCTGTCCAACGCGCTTTTCGCGCCTTGGCTTGCTCTTGTTTGTGGACAATGGTCTTCTTTTCGAAAACAGTCACAGTGACTCCGTGCTTCCGTTTGCAGTGTGCTCGGAGGCTTCTTGCGTTGGTGTAACGTGACGAGCAATTGGGACATTCGAAGTTTCCATCCGACTTCTTGAGCACAAGTTTCGAGTTCATGGCAGAATGGATTGTGTGGGAAGTCAAGTTGATGTTTCAAATACTCAAGTATGATTGGTCTAAAACATGAAAGTACAAATAGCACGTGCTTTGTTTTCTACTGGAAGAAGTCGTATTTCTGACCAGAACGCTTTTCGGGTACAAATACTCAAGTATGATTGGTCTTAAACATGAAAGCACAAATAGCACGTGCTTTGTTTTCTACTGGAAGAAGTCGTATTTCTGACCAGAACGCTTTTCGGGTACAAATACTCAAGTATGATTGGTCTTAAACATGAAAGCACAAATAGCACGTGCTTTGTTTTCTACTGAAAGAAGTCGTATTTCTGACCAGAACGCTTTTCGGGTACAAATACTCAAGTATGATTGGTCTTAAACATGAAAGCACAAATAGCACGTGCTTTGTTTTCTACTGGAAGAAGTCGTATTTCTGACCAGAACGCTAATTTCCTTTTACAAGTACATCAGACTTCGCACACAAGCACGTGCGAGTGCTTTGCGTAACCCTAAACCACTTCAGGTTTGCGAAATATTTCTGATAATCGCTTCAGGTTAGCGAATTTTCTCGGAGATTTCGCAAGCAAACCTCAATAAATAGAGCAATTTGATTGGCTCGGAAAGTAGTCAGATGTCTGCGGACTTCGAGGCCAAAAGTGTGATGACTTCCTCACTTTTCAGACCTGTTTCCGAGCAAAGTCTGCAAGCTTCGAAGTTCGAATCGAAGTTTAAGTCTGGAAAGTTAAGATTTCGCACTTGCTAAAAGTCTCTATTGACATCCAACACATGTCAGTTTTGACACACTTTGCATTTCTACTTGCTCTTTATCCTCCGTTCCTTCCTGAGTTAGTTGTAGTGGACAATAACTCGATTTGGAGGCTGACTCTACAACTGAATGCTCTCAACACTCGTGACATACTTACACAAAAGGTGGATGTTGAAAACTCGGTCGACAACAGTCTCTATTTTCGCTCCCGTCGTTATCCGGACGGAAACCTCTTGCGGAGGCCGAATTAAATTGCAAACTGAGGTCTCTTACTACGAATTACTTTTTCTGGTCTATTTTAAGTATAATCATTTCGTCCAATGAAAATGCGCCAACAATGCACATTTTCAACCGCACGACGAATGGCGGCCTGCTGCACATAATGGAGACTAACGGACTTACCGATCATGAGACCATGAGCCGACCTCTAAAAAGGCTCATAGGTCTTTCTACAGCGCCATGCAGAACAGTCTCGTGGACATTTACCGTGTAGCACGCAATGCACGCTAACGTTAAATTACCGATGAGTGACCACACAAGAGTGAGCAAACTGTACTGTACCGGTTTGAGCAACATTAAGTATTTTACGTGAAAGCAAGCGGCCTTGGGCGAAATACAGAAACGAAGTCCGGTGCCGTGATGATTCATAGAATGGAGGCTCTATGCAAGCGCAGAAGAGATATGCGGTATCGACTTCAATACATGGCTTCTATATACTTAGGTGACCTAGCCGCGATATGCACCTTGACTTGGCACTCGAAAGCAGCATGGCGCCGAGGCACTATGGGCTATGTCGCTGTCCACGATCACATGAAATCAATCGGCCAATCATATCCAAGGAATCTAATATTGTGACCAATCAGTATCTGTACGATGGCGGTCGTGCAAATTCCAATTACAATGCATTCCCTGTTAATTGACCGCTCCCACGTCGACCTAACCCCTTCGCACCCATTTCACACAGTTTTGATTATCTTGTTCAACCCCCAAAAGCTACAAATGAATCACCGATGTTTTCAACGGATTCTTTTAACGTTACCTGCGATTTCAACGATTTACTAGTAGGTTTCATCGATGATTTCACCATTGATTCATTTCAACATAGGTAGTACAAGTCGTTTGCACTGGAAATATCAACGGTGAAATTAAATCACCGATACGAACACGGTCATTTGAGATGTACACTGTACATACAAGTGTCCACACTTACAGGTTAATACAAATATACATTCCTCGCATTATATGTATGTAGTTAGTTATTCTTAAAACTAAAGTCATACTTCGAAGTAAAACACAAAATATCATACTTCGAAATATATCTGGTAAGATTTAATGTTTCACCCTCTTTTCAGTATTTTTCTTCGCAGCAGTTCGTCTCCCAGAGTTTCGGGTTAATCGTGGCTGTGCAAGCCCCAACGCTAAAGCTGCATCGCACTGCAAATTTATACCCAGCGTTGGATCATGCGCCAATATCTCGAATGGAATTAGTACCGGTGTATCCACCGTTCCTTCCTATGGAGTTCCCACTTTGGTTTATCCACCAGCCCTCACCAGAGATACCATCGAGAAACACTGTCGCTAATAACTTCTTTGCACGAAGTCGACGCTTCGTAGTACTTCTTGTCAACCAGTCAAGTATGTCCCCTTAGTGGTGCTTACCCGATAACGTTGTATTCACAGTACCGTGCGGCGCCTGTCAGACTTCCATGGACCGTACTGTCCATGGTAGTGTTCGCAGTAATGTGCCGCCGTTACTGTAAAGTGGTGTTTTTCCCTCGCCTGTGTTCACTCCTTTTGTCCTCGCCTATCATGTCTCCCAACCTCTATCGCCTAGTCTATCAACTCTAACAGGCCGAGGCAGTGGCCGCTTTATACTTGCATGTTCTGTATATTCTTCATGTCGCTACCCTACCCTAGTGATTGCTCACCCAATCACGGCTATAGCACAAGGAAAAGAGCGCTGATTCTCACACGTCAGTGTTTCCCTTTTGCTGAGTTTAGCCAATAGTTTGTACTTCGAGGTAAACGCCTGAATCTCACTTTCCGTTTTCCCCTGTCCTTGTACACTTGGTTTGTCTTGGACACTCTGCGCAAAGTTGCTACACGACTATCACCCTCGCCTACCTCCTGTTTCCCCCATCGTGACAGTTACGATGCAGTCAGCAATCCATGACCTTACATGCGACGAAGCGAGAGGTTCTGGCATCTTCTGTCATCGTGCACTGTACTTGTGACTAAATGACTGTGAATAATGACTCATGCATTGAATCAATTGTATTTTTGACCAACCATTAGTTAGACCTCCTGACAATAGATTTACTATATACCAAGTCATCAGCAAAATTATTGAAATTATCATATGTATTCTAAGTAATACCAATCTCTGGTTGGTCAATCGCATTGTGCTTAGGATTAGTGGTTCACGGTTACACAACAACCAGCCAATAGGTGATTGAATCAATTCGTTTGAACAAGATCTCTCGTGACCTTGTTGTAGTTCCCACCAAACACTAAACCATTTCCAAAAGCACTGGTTACACCTCGAAAACACGGACATTTTGCCTTCCATGTCGCGCCGCTCCAGCTTGCAAGCATCCCAGCCGACTCCCTCGTCGACCCTAGCTACAACGAGGGTCATTAGTTAAGGTGTAGCCTTGATGGAAAACCTCGACCAACAGCGCTACGCTAAACGAGCCCGCTACTCTACCGTTCTTGCTGACGAGCCCAACGACTTGGACTCGAACTCACTTATCTACAACTCCTTTCTCGCTTCCGAAAAATCTGAAGTGATTGTGACGATAACACACTTCTCGCCGTCTGAGTTCAACCTAATTTGGAGAGAGGTGCGCCAGTACGTCTTCCGCCATTGGAATGCCGGCTGTGGACAAAAGTCGATGGTATCTGCTCGCGGCCTGCTCATGATGCTGTTCACGTCGTTGAAGCACTCCGGTACTTGTGACGTCGGTGCAGCCGTATTCAAGCAAAAGCCGAGGACATTCGAGAAGCGCGTCATGTCCTTCCTGACCGTTCTCCACCCATACCTCATGCGAACGTTCATTGCGGCTGTCGAACAAAAGTGGCCAATGAAGGCGCACGCGGAGTCAGGGCATAGATTCAAGAACTTTACGGCTGCTCGGTACGCCACGGACGTCACGTTCCAGTAAATCAATGTAACGGCCGACGATTATGCAGAGAACTTCAGCGGCAAACACTCCCTGGATGAACACAAGGTCGAAGTGTCCATGGTACCGAATGGCTTCGCGATTGACTGCACCAAGTTTTACAAGGGCAGCGTGTCGGAAAAGACAATATTCGACGAGAACATCGACCCTCACTTGGCCAAGCTGGCAAAGCGCACAGGTGAGAGAACGCTTAAAGACTCGGAGCCCGGCATGGAGCAATGGGCCGTTCTAGCTGACAAAGGCTACCAAGGTATTCGGCTCAACCATCGGGCGGTGCTGCCGTTAAGAAGTCGGTAGGTGGCATACTCATCTTTGCCGAGCAAGCGACCGTATTGCTAGCGATCGCGTTATCATTGAGAACTACTTTGGACAGTTGAAGACACCCTGGGCCACATTTAGCGACACGTACCGTTGGAGCCGCATGAGCTGCGACATCGTGTTGAAAGCATGTTTGGCCCTGACTAACGTCGATGTCCGTATCCATGCTCTGCGTGCAGAAGATGTTGATGTCAATGCCCAGTACATCGGTCGACGCAATCGGCGCAAAGATCTTCAAGACGAAGAAAGACGCTGGGAACGCGTACAGGTCAAAAAGAAAGGTGAGGTTGAGTATGGTTTTACGTTTACTCGTGATTTGCCTGGAAGCGACACCGAACTTGGCTCTGACAATGAAGATGGAAACAGTAGTTTTATCACGTAATTCGGAACTAGGACCATTTAGGACAATGTAATTGGTTTAGGAATTAAATGACAAATAGTGCTGGGTAAATAATGGAAGATGGCGGGTATTTGCTGGCATAGATGTTATAAAAGAACGCAATTGCCTTAAAAAGTACATGAATTGGGTGTATTCAGGATTATTTGAGGTCAAATACCCATCAATTGTCTTTCGGACAAAGGTTGATTGATGTCCACGTAAAAGTCCCATGCTTCTCGTCGAAGACTACGTTTTCGGGCAAACTAGAACTGTTTTACCAGTATGTGAAGTTTATCAGCTCATTAGTAGACTGTCATACATCTAATCTATGAGTAAGAGGTCTATTGAGCACACACCAACGGTCGGTTAGCCAATAACACAACTTATCGACAAATTGTTTCCCTTAAAATCCCTGGTGAAAGGAACCGTTGAAAACACTTGTGATTAGGGTGAGTCGATATAGGAATTTTGTGCTTTTCGTGGATTTTAAAACACAAATTTATATACTTTTGTATTTTAATTCGCTTGCTCGAAACGCAAGCGGAGTCAGTTTAGAATCCGAAATGCATTCTGATCAGTATTCGAGTCATGTGGACTCCACGGCCCAAGTCCGTCGAATCGTGGTGCTCAGCTTGGGCACAGCTATCGCTACCCGCGCTACATGGGTTCGTGGAATGTTGTGAAGGACTAGTTAGGTGGGCATCTACAACTACTCTATATGCTCCTAAGCTCACGCTACATGATCTATACGATACCTGGATTCCTCAATTTAGCTTCCGCCCTCGGGAGCTAAATGGTGACTGACACCGCCATTTCATGATTGTACTAGGAATTGTATACTTTTGAGTATAATTGTATGATTGGCTGGTTCCATACCTAGTCTCTTCCAACTTCAAGCTGCGTTTGTGGTTTACACCAAAGCTGCTTTTGATTTTCATAACGTTCACGAAAAGCAAAAGTCAAAAGCAGTTTTTTTGACGAAAATCCTAAATTGACTCCACCTAATAGGGGGGAGTCAATATAGGATTCATTTGTAGCTTTTGGGTGTTGAACAAGACCAATTACCGATGAAATACTACATCTACTATTATTAACAGTACTAACCACTACTGTAATTGCGATGCAAGTATCATATATAAGTGACTATTAATACTACAGGTAGTTTTGCTGTAATTGCGATGCAAGTATCATATATAAGTGACTATTACATAATACTACAGGTTAGTATTTCCCTTTATCTGGGTATTTACGAAACAAACTACGAAACACACCTACTACTAGTAGTACTAGAGTATCATGTGGTGAAATTATGCAAGTGCCAGACCAAGCTGAGCTTGAGACTTACTCCGAGTACGACGTTTCTACGGTGGAAGACCATGTACAGCCTGCCAACAATCCGGTACACCCAGCAGCAATCACAGGCACGCTTCGTTCATACTATCACTGGCGTGGCAGATTGACTGAAGCAGTTCGGTGTTGGCACGACTCGAGACAATCACCTAATCCAACTGCATCAACTTCGA